ATGTTGCTTCTGCCACCAGCCTCTGAGAATGGAGGGAAAACCTTACCCATGCCCTGTGGGGATGAAGGCTGTAGTCTTTGTTCTCCCTGCAGGCAATCCCATGCAAGTCCTCCAGAAAGTTCCAACAGCAGTGCTGATAATCCCGAGCCACAAGAGGCTGCTGGAGGTGAAGCTGTGTGGACGAGTCTGTGGAAATCCTCTTGATGGCCAGTGCACCCCACATGAGCACCGCTCTGGGCCCTGTGTCATGAGACCCTCTGTCCAAATGAATCCACAAGAGAACTTCCTCCCACCCACCCCTAACTTCTCAGTTCCTCTCCTCAGCAGGCCAACACGTTGTCAAGTCCCTGCTCTCCACCCTCCCACCCCATTCCTGAGTAACTGCTTCCCAGACCCCTTTCCACTCTCACACAGAGAAGCTGCATCTCCCATCTCTTGTACTAAATTGTACATCTTTTCCTCCCTCCCTCTCTCTCTCTCTCTCTCTCTCTTTCTCTCTTTCTTTCTTTCCTGAGTTGACATCTCACTCTGTCATCCAGGCTGGAGTACAGTGTCTTAATCACAGCTCACCACAGCTTCTACCTCCTGGGACCAGGTGATCCTTCCACCTCAACCTCCCAAATAACTGGAGTTAGAGATGCGGGCCACCATGCCTGGCTAGGTTTATTTTTATTTCTTTTGTGAGACAAGGTCTTACTATGTTGCCCAGGTTGGTTTTGAGTCCCTAGGCTCCAGCGATCCTCAAGCCTTGGCCTCCCAGAGTGCTGGGATTACAGACACGCTGCACAGCCGAATTGTGCATCTTTCTCATCTCTAAAATTCTTTGCAAAGAAAGGCAGTGATCTCCCTGCATGATTCTGCTGGAGGTTAGAGGGGAAGGAGGGAGCCTTGAGTCTGGACGAGTGGGTGGGGAAGGACAGGAGAGTGGAGTGGTCCTCTGCTCTGGGTGGCAGTTGATGCTCCCACATCCACTTTTTGTTCCTGAATTGTAACCATCAGCCAGGGTGCACCCTGCAAGTGTCACTTCCTTGTCCACAGCCTCCACCGGATGGGTGTTTGAGATTCCCAATCCAGGAGCCCTTCCCTAGGCACTAGCATCAAGATGTTCTCATGACACCAAGAGATTATTTGCCCTTTTCCCAACCTTGAGATAAACACTGCAGAGTCTAAGAAGGCCTCAGCTAAACTTTTAATTTTCTCCTTTGTAAGTTTTGGGTTTCTCTGCCAGGTTGGGGGAGGGAGAGAGGGGAGAGGGATCCCTAGCATGCGTCTCTCACTGTTTTAAATCAGCATGCCTTACCTGACACCACCTTCTGCTCTGCTTCAAGCCTGAAGCCAACAGATTATACTCTACCCAGACCATTGGCCCCGGCCTCCACCATCCTGGCCTCCACCATCCTGGCATCCCGCTGTCATGGGGCTGCTCTCATGGCTGCCCTATATCACAGGTGAGGGGCCTGCGACTGACCCTGTGACCCGGCCTGCACAGGTCCCACTAGTCCTCCTAGTCTCCTGAGCCTCTCTTGGGGGCTCATTGGCCCTGTCACTGGATCCTCTGGACCCCTCCAGCCAAAGACAGAAGATGTGAAACTCATGAAGATTGGGAAATCAACAAGGCCTGGGGAGGAGGGAAGGCTCTGGTCTGAAGCAACAAGCTTCCCCTTGCGTCACTGGCTGCTGCCTGTCCCTCCACTCTCACTGAAGAATGGGCCTAGGCTCTGTGGGGAGAAGGTACCACATGCAGCCTCCTGCAAAGTGCTGCAGCCTTTTAAGAGCTTGTTTAGGTTGACAACCCTGCTTGCTTCATGGGAGGCAGACCCACAGAGAGAAAACAGCATGGACTCTGGAGACAGACCTGGGTTTGAATCCTGACCCCACTATGGGCAATTTATGTGACATCTCAAGGAGGCAAACAGCAAAGGATAGAGGCTCTGGACTCAGATCAACTTTGGACAAGACCTGCTGCACAACTTACCTACTGGGTGCAAGGAGGCAAGTTTCACTTGTCCAAGCCTCAGTTTCCTCTTCTGTAAATAGGAGTAATAATAGTGTCAGCAACTAAGATAGTGCAAAGTTCTCAGCATGCTCAGCTGCACATAGGAAGGGCTCATGGCACTGAATCTTTTATGATCCTTGTCACCATCATTATTGTCTACTAGGTTTCTTTTTTAAATATTTTTCCCCTTTTTTTGAGTTGGTATCTCACTCTGTCATCAAGACTGGGGTGCAGTGGCACAGCCATGGTTCACTGAAGCCTTGACCTCCTGGGGTCAAGAGATCCTCCAGTCTCAGCCTCCTGAGTAGCTGGGACTACAGGTACACCCTATCACTCCTGGCTAACTTTTTGATTTTTTGTAGAGACAAGGTCTCACTGTTGCCCAGGCTAGTCTTGAACTTCTGGGTTCAAGCAATCCTCCCACCTTGGCCTCCCAATGTGTTGCGATTACAAATGTGAGCCACCATGCCCAGCCATGGGCTCACTCACTTTGTTTTTTAAAAAATCTTTTTATTTTAAAATAGAGACAGGGTCTTGCTATGTTGCCTAGGCTGATTTTGACCTCCTAAGATCAAGTGATCCTCCTGTCTCGGGATGTGGTCATGCAGGTTTCTGAAATGCTATGTCTATCTTCTAAAAGAGCTCCATGGGCCATCATCTAAAGCGTAATAACTCAGAAACAAAAAGTCAAATACTGCATGTGAGTGGGAGGAAGTGCTCTTGTGGATTCATTTGGACAGAGGGTCTTGCGATACAGGGCCCAGAGTGGTGCCGATGTGAGGTGCGCTTGCCGTCGAGAGGATTCCCACGCACTCATCCACACAGCCTCACCTCTAACAGCTTCTTGTGGCTCGGAGTTATCAGCTGTTGGAACTTTCTAGAGGACCTGCATGGGATTGCCTACTGGGGAAACAAAGTCTGCAGCCTTCATCTCCACAGGGCTGGGAGAAGGTTTTCCCTCTATTATCAGAGGATAAATAATGTGTACACATGGATATAGAGAGTGAAATAATAGACACTGGAGACTTGGAAGGGTGGTAAGGGCTGAGGGGTAAGAAATTACTTCATGGGCACAATATACACTATTGAGGTGATGGTTACACTAAAAGCCCAAATTTCATCATCATGCAATATATCTTGTAACAAAATGGTTTGTACCCCCTAAATCTATACAAATAAAAAAATAAAATAAATACACCATCCCCTTAATGGAACAGCTGCAAGGAGTAAAGAAGAAGGAGCCATCTTCATCTTGGCCATATTAATTGGATAATTCTTCCAAAAGAGCCCAATATTCACTCTATTACAACTTCTGCTTTTCTGTAATTTTTTTTTTTTGGCCTAATTTTAAAAAAGTATTCCTTCTACTTTTAAGGAATATATGGAATGTTCCTTTCCACAAGTGTGTGCTTTGAGAGAGAGAGAGAGACTGATTCTGGTCAGGAATATCTTCCTGTCTACTCTATCCTCCAAGGCCCTGCTTCAGTCCCAGTTAATTCCATGGCATCTTTGATTGCTTTAAAATGGCTTTTCTCTCTCTCCTTCTTTTGTCAAATGGTTTTTTATCACTTGCTGCTAGGCTGGTGATTTGAAAGATAAAGTGCCCTCTCTCACTAGCAAGGAGTTTTGAACAGCAGGGCAATGCTTTATACAGCATGATCAGCCCCTGTGAACTCTTGGGCACGAGACCCTGCAAGGAGCACTTGGCCTGGGCGACCTTGAATGATGTTCCCAGCGCCCGCCTGTGTTGATGAATCACTCTCCAGGCTGAGCCTGGGACCAAAGGCATAGCTCACTGAAGCTGACCACCAGCTGGTAAGGCAGGTGTGCTGCAGTGGCGGTGGGTTCCTTAAAGATGCACAAGATGGAAATTGTGTGAGCCCAAAGCTGCCCTTGGGAAACTTCAGGAAAGCCCCACCTCAGGGACTTACACAGCATCACTCAGAAAGGGCAACAGATCCCCACTTTCTTTCCTCAAGTGTTGGAACAGATGGCGATGTGTGTGTGCATGCGTGCCCATGTGCTTGTGTATGTGCATGCATGTGTGCGTGTGTATGCATGTGTGCATCTCTGTGTGTTCATGTGTGTGTGTGTGTACATGCTTTTGTGCGTGTATATGCATTTATGTGCCTGTGTGTGCCTGTGCCTGTGTGTGTGTGCAGCATTAGGTGAAGTTGAAAGGCTGCCATATTGCACACGTATAGTTGCTTTTAGACACTGGGCATCTGCTGACAAGTTGCTCAGCCAATGAGAAGTGCGCAGGTTCTGAGACCAACTAACACACAGCAGTGTCTCATCTCCTGTCCTTAAGGGATGTGATCTCTGGTTAGCATATAAGCTGGAATCAGTTGTGAATAGAATATATGGTGGCATCATGGGGATGGAATACATGACACCATCAGTAGCAATTATGTGTTTTTCTTTTTAAGTTTGTCTAATTAAATGCACCTAGGCTGTATGTGCATATGAGACAACTCCTTTGTTTTCCTGTTTTACAGACATGGAAACCGAGGCTCCCAGAGTTGAAGTCCTTGCCTAAGGTTGCACAGCACAGAAACAGGCACAGCAGAAATGGAGCCCGGTCTGCCCAGTGCAGCACCATGCTCAGCCTAGGTATCTGACCCACTCCCTTGCCAAGGACCATCAAATGGTGACTATAAAGGAATTTCAACTTTTAATGGAGAAGGGGCGAGGGGAGATGGTTCAGAAGCATTAGAAGGCCACACTCCTTACCCAGAAGTTCATTGATGGTGGGACATTGTCTCTGTTTTAGGTCAACTGTCAGCCAAGCAGCAATGTGGTGTAGACCACATGGGTGCCAGGAGTTTTCAGGGAAAAATACTTGGACTCCTGTTGGATTTTAAGCCCCTTCACTGCCCCTCCCACTTGGAGAGGTGACTGGGACCGGTGGGGAATTACTACCCCTGTGCTCTCTCTGCATCTCAAGCCCCAAGTTGGGCTTCCTTGTTTACTTATTTAGAGCCCAGCAGAGGAAGTGGTAAAGGAAACTAGCTGAGTCGTTTTCTCAGAAGAGACCATATTTGTTCGCAGAGGAAGCTGCTGCTTTCTTGGATCTGGCTACAGCAGAAAAGACATCTGCTCCAACAGGGTGTTCCACGGGGTAGCTGTGAGTTGGAAGAACCAAGGACGCCTCCAAGCTCTGGATTCGGGGTCCTCTGTCCATGGGAGCAACGCTCATGCTTGGCTTGTGAGCTTCCTCCCCAGAGATCAACATGGCACTGAGGAACGTGCCCTTTCGCTCAGAGGTTCTGGCCTGGGACCCCGACAGCCTTGCTGACTATTTCAAGAAGGTGAGCTTTGCTCTTTTGTGAGTGGTTGGGCTGAAAGTGCCCTTGGTAGTTCAGGCAGGGCCTTGAAGATGGAATCTGGGCAGAACATGAGAGGAATATAAGTCAGCGCTGGAATTCCCAACCCCACAGCAACCTTCCCGGTTGAGTGAGTGCCATGCAAGCCATTGGGTTTTTCTGATGATGAGTTCTGGAGAGAAGGGTGGGAGGGGAAATGCTCAAATGAGCACACACCTGCCAAGTGCCAGGGTCTGAGTTTGGAGCTCTACAGGCACAGTCCCATTCAACACTCCTCACAATCCTGTGAGGTCAATATTGTTGTCCACTCAGCTCGGCTGCAAAATCAGCTCAGGGAGGTTGAATGGCCTAGACCCCAGAGACTATGTGTGACAGAGGCAGGAGTTGAGTCACACCTGTCTGATTTCAAAGTCCATGCTCTGAGACACGGAGAACTGTCATAACCCCTAATGAGATCAAGGGTACTTACTAGAAAGGGGAGATGTGGAGTCTTGGGGTGGGAAAAAGAACAGGAAGGGAAGGAGGGGTAGGCAGAAACTGGGTGAGCAGTGCTAGCTTCAGGGCATTCACTGCTCACATCCCTGAAAAAGGGGGTCCTCAGTCTCTCTCATAGAGGAGCGTCTCTTTGGAGCTTTATGAAGGTTATGTGAGGGAGGCCAGAACACTGATATGAGTCCCAGTTCACAGCTAGGGAAACTGAGGCCCCTAGAAAGGAGAGGCTTAGCCAGGCAGAGTCCAAGGCCAAGCTTGTGGTGGAGCTGGGGGCAGGGTGTTCTGTCCTTTGCTCTGGACATGGAGGAGAGGCTTGATGAGCCTCGTACATGGTCATCGGTGGGAGGGTACCACACATCTGTCCAGGCAGATCTTTTGCTACATGACTCTGTTAGGGACCCTCTATCCCATCCTGGTGAGGCACATGTGAGCTTCTAACACCCCCATCTCTGCAGGCTGGCATCGTGTTCCAGACTGTCATAAAGATGAGATTGTAAAACTAAGACCTCAGACGCCTTCTTTTTTTTTTTTTTTTTTTTGAGTTGGAGTCTCACTCTGTTGCCCAGACTGGAGTACAGTGGCCGCTCCCGGCCACCGCAGCCTCGACCTGCTGGGCTCCGGCGATCCTTCCGCCTCAGCCTTCCAAGTAGCCGAAACTACAGGCGTGCACTAAAATGCCTGGCTAATTTTTTTGATTTATCGTAGAGATGAGGTCTCGCTGCCCAGGCGGGTCTCGAACCCTAAGGCTCAGGCAATCCACTTACCTCAGCCTCCCAAAGGCGCCTCAGACGCCTTCTAATTCAACTTCCTGTTTTCCTCAGAAACTGAGACCCAAGGGGGCATAATAGTTTCCTAAGACACACAGCCAAACCTGGGGTCTACACAGTATCCCACTATTTGCATCTATCACAGAACAGTTACAACGGTTCTTCCCCGACCTAAAGAAGAAATATGAACATGGTAAACCGGATGTGGCATGGTAGGGGCACAGCCTACAGATCTTGTTATCTGTCATGTTTTGGGCATTTTATTTCTGTTATTTTGCTTCTGCCGGGTCATAATAAACTTAGGTTTCAGCAAAGATTGTTGCACAACTGGCCTTTGAAGGATATTTCTAAATACTTTTCTTAAGTGTAGACCAAGTTAAGGCAACAAGGAAAAGGTTGCCAAGATGGAACGAAGTAGCATGTTACCTCATTAAGGAAAAAGAAATAAATTGAGAATTATGAAGAGAAAAACGGGGACAGTCTGAAAGACACAGGCAGGCCCCATCTTAAGTGTCACGAGGATAATGATATAATCCAGTCGAACAATAGAGAATCTGTGGGGGAGATTCCCAGCAGTGCAGGGTGATCCAGGGAGACATCTCTCTGCCCCAGTTGGGGGCAGAGTTTTCTTGTTGGAGATCCTGGATCCCGGGACTAATCCTCAGCACTGGGACAGGTTCCCTCTCCTGGCATGAAAGGGCCAAGAGCAGGAATGAGGAGACTATGATCTTGGAAGCCCCAGCCCCCAACACAGACTTGGATACAGACCCTTTAGGTCTTGAGCTCCTCTGTCTGCCAAGAGAAAATACTGAGTGCATGGACCAAAGAGCAGATCTTAGCGATGGGACATGCCATTTAAAGGATCAATCCGCAGGTGTCCTTTCTACCGAAGTAATGGAGTCAGGTCCTTCTTGGAGACACCTCTCCACCCAGTTCTGGAGTCAGATACATCTTGGATTGAACTCTGACTCTGCCACCCGCTAGCTTAGTGACCTTCCCTTAGTTACTTTGCCTCTCTGTGCCTATTTCATCAGTGAAATAGAGATACCAACAGTAACTAATAGAATGAAATGCTTGTGAGGGTGAAAGGAAATAACGTGTGCAAGGCATTCAGCAGACTGAGGGGCCTAGTTCATGTCTGATCTTCATATTTCCTGAAGTGAATATCTTCTGAGACCTGTAGACTATTCTGGTGGCCTCTGTTCCCTCTTTCCCCACCCCCCAAAGTTCCCTTATGGCTCTGGGTCCAGAAGTTAGGGGCACGGTCTGATTCACAAGTGTGGGTATATCTTATCTGCCTTACTTCTGGTGCCCAGGTCGCTGCCCTCCTTGGGGTTTTGATGTCCCTGCTTAAGGTTGGCCCAGGCATATATATATAGCACTCCATCCCCCATACTTGCTGTTTCCTCAGTAAAGTTGAGTGGGCACATGGTCCATAGGCAACTGTTGTGCCCTCCTGGGGACATTTCTTTAAAGGAGGCAACAGGGTGTGAGACTTGTAAGCTTTGGCTTCAGGTAGAAAGCCCCAGTGGTGACACCCATGCAGACCGGCGGGCCTCTGCAGCTTACTGTCTCCGATACATGTATATCACCTAGTGTCTGGAATGCAAGCTCCTGAGGACCCAGACCATGTTTTGTGTTTCTTCAACCCCTCAGACTCCTTTTGACTGGGCAAGAGGGCATCCTTGGGCCAGGCAGTGGAGAGGCACCGACTCAGAGTTATACATCCTAATCTCTGCTGGAATCCCAGTTCACTGTGTGACTTTGGATCAGTCCCTTCCTCTATCTGGGCCTCAGTTGTGCCATGTACAAAAGCAGGTAACTGCTCTGGACCAGTGCTGACCAAAACTAGCTGCTCATAAAAATCATCTAGGGTGCTTGTTAAAAATGTAGATTCTAGGCCAGGTGTAGTGACTCACAACTATAATCCCAGCACTTGGGAGGCCAAAGCAGGAGGACTGCTTGAACTCAGGAGTTTGAAACTAGCCTGGGCAACACAGTGAGATTTCATCTCTACAAAAAGAAAAAGAAAAAGATTAGCTAGGTACGGTAGTGCATGTCTGCAGTCTCAGCTACTTGGGAGGCTGACATAGGAGGGTCACTTCAGCCCATGAGTTGGAGGCTGCAGTGAGCTGTGACTTTGTCGCTATACTCCAGCCTAGGCAACAGTGAGTCTCTGACTCAAAAAAACAAAACAAAACAGATTCTAGGCCCAGATCTTACTGGAGCAGAATCAAATGTCTAGGTCCCAGTCTGCAGGGCTATCTGTTGATCTAGATGCAAAATTAGCACTCTGAAAAATCAGATATTCAACTGATAATGATGACAGTGAAAATGATGAATTAAAGGCAGTTGACTATTCCAAGAACCGCTCCCCATCCCCTGACTCGCCACACTGCATGTAAAGGGGGTACCTGGGTTTGAGAAGGGGTTTTCTGCCCATATCGACCCCTAAGTCAGTTCTCTGAGTGTGATAGCCATCCCATCCTCCCAAGCAATTGTATTTACTCTTTATATTTTCTGGCCATAAGATAGAGACATGGTTTTACTTTTGCACCAAAAGAAGCCTGCCACAAACTGTGAGGCCTACCCTTGTGGGGAGAACTTAGGATTCTCCAGAACAAACATTTAAACTCAAATACTCCAGCCCAAAAGGTCAAACTTAGAGATATTTCAAATGTGAACACGAATGCTGCTTAAGACGAGGTAAACCGACACTTCATGTGATTGTTGATGGGTTTAGGAAAATGACCAAGATGCTAAAAATGCTCTTACACAATTTATCTTAAACAGAGAGAAAAAAAATTATGTAGGAAATATACTTGAGGTTCTATATTTTGATCTAGATGGTGTATTAAGCTGCACTTTCATGAGTTCGCTTTACTTACCATATGTAAGTTATACTGTCATTTAAAAAGGGGCTATTCCTGCCAGAAAGCTTAAAGCTTCTTCTGGGCTGGGTGTGGTAACTCACACCTGTAATCCCAGCACTTTGGGAAACTGAGCCAGGAGGATCATTTGAGACCAGGAGTTTGAGACCAGGAGTTTGAGACCTGGGCAACATAACAAGATCTTGTCTTTACAAAAAAGTAAAAAAAATTTAGCTGGGTGTGGTGGTATGGGCTTGTAGTTCTAGCTACTTGGGAAGTTAATGCAGGAAGACCGTTTGAGCCCAAGAGTTCAAGGTTGTGGTGAGCCATGATTGTACTACTGTACTCCAGTCTGGGTAACAGAACAAGACCCTTAAAAAAAAATCATTTTCTGAAGCTGACTATTACTGCTGTCACCTACAACCCATGGAGCCTCATATAAGTTGCTTGATTCTCTGTACTTCTCACTTCCCGTCTGCAAAACATGATTAGATGATTAAACATGGTTTAAATACTTGGAACAGTGCCTGCTGTATAGAAAAGCTCTCAATAATTATTAGCAGCTTTTGTTAGCATGATTGAAACAGCAGTTTGGTATACTATCTAAATATTCAGCAATAAGGGAATGGTTAGATAATGTTGTGGCCATTAAAATAATGTTTGAAATAAGTTTGCATAACACAGGACAGTGCTTATATGACCATTTTAGGTAACTGAGGAGAAAGAAGTCAGGATCACAGATTGAACATAAAAGATAACCTGCTACATTTAGTGACATGCTAGGAAGAAAGCATTAGAGGGCCCACCAAGATTGTTTCTATGTGGCAAATCCATGGAGGGGACTTATTATTTTCTCCTTCCAGCTCCTCTGCTTTCCTAAGCATCTATGGCCAGCACTTTGCAAGTCTTGGAGGCAGTCTCTTTCTAAAGAGGTTGGCCCAAAGTTTTAGAGCGAGGCCATTTCTCCATTTCAGGCTGTTTCAAGGGGTGTAGTGAAAGCCAATCTGAGGTGGGGATAAGGCCTCTGTGTTAGGGGTGGGCAGGAGGGAGTCTGGCTAGCCACAACTACCACAAATTGCTAAGCTTCTGGGGCAGACAGGGGAGGGGAACCAATGACAGGAGTCTGCCTGTCACTGACTGCATCTTCCCCTTCTCTTTGCAGCTGAACTACAAGGACTGTGAAAAGGCAGTGAAGAAGTACCACATTGATGGGGCTCGGTTCTTGGTAAGTTCTGGTCCATCCATCACTCTGAAACAAAGGATAGAACAAAGGATGTTCTATTCTATTCCCAATGGCTGCGTGGCCCATTGGTCTACCCTGCCCTGGGGATGCCCGTGCTCAAGGCCTGTCCTCAGGATCCCATGCAGCTCTTTGCTTCCTCTAGAGGCTTGCTTGGTTGGGACCCTCTCACCACCCCTCAGCAGCCTCCTATTCAGAACCCCTCTCTGATCTTCCACTGATAACAAGACATACTCTAAAGTCAAAGTATTAGGAGGAATTCAAGGACCGTTGAAAAGATATCTTGAAATTCAAATGTTGTCTGTACTTTGAGAAGCCCTAGGGGAGAGAAAGACTATATGAGAGCCCAGAAACTTCTCACCTCCCATTTCTCACTCTGGAGCACATACTCATGAGGGAAACAGAGGTAGAATCACCCTCATTCTTTCCATCTCTTGCCTCTTTCTCAAAACCAAGTTCATGAAGCTGATTGTGTCAAATACTCATGCGATGTACCTCTCTCTTCTACATTGCAATTCAAAAAGCTTTAACTCTGAGACCCAGGTGCAGGTGTGTGTAAGAGCTAAGACATTAAAGGGAAAGGAATGCATCTCTAATGGTGAAGACAGAGGCAATAGGTTGTGGTTGGGAGGTGGTTTGAGCATTTCCCCTGAGATGACACCTTTGTCTGTGGATTGAAAGAGACCCTGGTTGCACCAATCCAACCCTTCTTGTCCCTTTGTTTCAGTCTTTAAAAATGAAGTGGAAGCAAGACTTTAAGGATCTCATGTGGGTAGACATTCCCAATTTGGATTCAGAGTCAGGAGGACAAACTAAGTAGTGTCTCTTTGTAAGTCATCCTCCATAGGGGAACTTGACTATGAGACTGCAGGCCAACTGGGGGCCTGAGAGATCACAGTCTCCAGCTTGCCACCCAGCATACTCCCATTTCTTATACTGCAACCCTGCTACCAACAACTGCCTGAATTCCTTTCGTGATGGTGAACTCACGATCACCCATAGCCATCTGCCCCTTTCTGGGCTGCTCTGAAGTCTCACGCTGAGACTAAACCTGTGCTCCTGTTGGCCTGAGTTTTGCTTTCAGGTGCCATGGAAAACATGTTTCTTCACTGCCCACCTAAATCATTAATTCATTCAGCCCTCCATTCACTGGTCAAGGATCTTCCTGACTTCCTTTTTCATACTAGATCCTGCCATGTACAGATGTGATTCCTGCCTTCTGGAAGCTTGTTCTAGAGCAGAATAGTATCTGCAGGAAGGGCTCCAACCATCTCATTTGTGAACAAGGAACAAACATACACAGAGGTGTGATGTGACGCCACAGACCTAGTAATCAATCATGTTACAGATTTAGTAATCTAAATAAAGCATACATTTAATTTAGTCTAATACTATTTAAATTTGTAGCAATGTCATTTATTCATACTGAGCCTTGAGTCAGTAGAATTCTGGAATTTTGTTGCTGTTTTTTCAAATTACTGCCAAACCCAAATATTTCATTCTGGTGCCCTCAGCACTGAGAACAGAAACTGTTCACTGTTGGGAGGAAAAGGAGCAAGACATGTTTGATGATGGTCCTGGGGCAGCCCAGTTGCCTGGGTTACTCTGAGCAAGCACTTGCCTGCTCTGAACCTTGCCTGTCCCTCCGCTGTTGGCTGATGACATGGGGCTGGGTGGGGCTGGGTCTCAGTGGACCGGTCTCTCCTGGTTCTGTGAGTCCAACACTCCCCATGTCAGCATCAGGCCTACTAGGACAGGACTATTCCCTTGGTGGAGAACTACCATCTGAGCAGCTATGTCCCCTCTGTTCCAATCTCTGGGACCGATCAGTCCCTCGATCAGTCCCTCAGCGAATGGGGCACATCCTGCTCATTGTGTAAAGAGGAGGGAGTAGGAAGAGAGGGGTAGAGCCAGGGGAGAGAAGCAGAATCCAAGGCCTGCCCCAGCACCTGGGGTGTGTAAAGCGTGTTTCTGCTGAAACTCAGCCTCCACGTCATTCTCTAGGTACAACTTGGAACTCCTGGTCTAAGCTCTCATTACTCATCTATTATGCCTTCCAGCTCTATAATATCCAGGGCCATTCTGCTATTGAAGGCAAAAGTGGAAGCCCTAGTAAATTTTCCCTTTCTCCCTTCTTCCCTCCCTCCTCCTCCATTTCTTTCTCTCTCCCCCTCCCTCCCTTCCCTTCTTTCCTTCCTTCCCTTCCCTTCCCTTCCCCTCCTTCCCTCCCTCCCTCCTTCCCTTCCTTCCTTTCTCCTTCCTTCCCTCTTCTTTTTCTTTTTCTCTCTTCCTCACTCTCTCACCCTCCCTTTTCTCTCCTTTCCCGTCTTTCTTTCCCTCCCCTCCTCTCTCTTTCTTTTCCCTCTCTCCCTCCCTCCTTCCTTCCCTCCGTCCTTCCTTCCCCTTCCTTTTCTTTCTCTCTTTCTCTCTCTCCCTCCCTCTTCCCTCTTATCCTTTCTCTTCTCACCCCTTCCCTTCTTTCCTTTCTTCTTCAGAATGAGGGCTTATAGTTCCTTTGAATCTGTCTGTCATTTTTGTTTCTGCTGAAAAGGATAAAAACTTGTCTGGGGAGAATGGGGTACTGTGCTGTGCTTCCAGAAGGTGTAACAAGAGGAGGAAATGTGCTGAGAAATGTCAGGTAGGAAGGCATGTGGCTCTGTGTCACAGAAACCTGACCACAGTGGCTTAACCAAATATAGGTTGGTCTTTCTCAAGAAATAAGAAAAGTTGAGGTGGGTGCTCGGGGCTGGTGAGCTGCTGCAGGACGTCAAGAACCCAGGCTGCATCTGGTCTCTGGAAAAGCCTGTGACTTCTGTCTTGATGGTTGTGAGCTGGCTACTCTACCACTGGGATAGGGGCAGAGTAAAAAGTGCATGGTGAGTGGTAAATGTGTGACCCCTTTTTGTCAGAAAAGTGGTGATTTTTCCAAGCTGCACCCGGTAGACTCAGGTTATATCTCACTGGTCACAGCAGAGTCATGTGATCTCCGCCATCTGCAAAGGAGTCTAGGGAGTTAAATATTTTGAACAAGCACAATTAGCTGTCCTGAATGAAATCCCAGCCCAGTAAAAAGGCAAAAATGGATATTGGGTTGGCAAGCAGAGTGTTTTGGCCTCTCCAGCTGGGACTCAGTTTGTAGATTTCCTCTTCATGCACCCCTCTTCTGGACATCCACAACATATGATCCTGCAAAACCACAAAGCTAATCCCAAATCATCATACAAGTAACCCAGAGTTTGCTGAAGGTTTTTGAAAGAGGTGGAGGAGGGGACTATATCACACAACAAAGCTCTCCAGCAATTTTGTTTCAGTATCTCCTATCATTCTTCATCGTTCTTGTCCCTGTTCCAAATGTCTCTCTCTTTCCTGACTTCCTGCTTCTCTGTGTCCCCAGCCATGTTCATGTCCACCATCTCCTCCACAATCTTCCTGAAGTTTCCTCAGCTTAGTCCTTTTTGCAGCACAGCAGAGGTTGGCAGCTAGCTATGTGCTCAGCTATAAGCCAGTGCTCAGCTATAGTCCCTTGAACAACCCCCAGGAAGCCTTTACCTCATCAGGCCACACTCCCAACATGAGTCTTGGCACTTCCTGAAGTTTTGAAGGGAGAAGATGCTGCTGCTCTGTGACATGAAAGATGATAGAGAGGAGTGGGGAGAGAGAGAGAGAGAGAGAGAGAGAGAGAGAGAGAAGCATTTAACATGCTTGACCAAAAGCCTGATGCTCTCAGGACTCTTGGCTGACTCCTTTCACTTGCCCCAGCCCTGCCTCAGATGGTCTTACAAGGGGCTGGCCAAAACCTGTTCCTAAGAGCCAGACCAGATGAACTCAACAAGCACATTGCTAAGATGCCCAGCCTTTATGCCACCTGAGCTCAAAGAAGTGCCCAGATTTCCCAGTGGGAAGCAAACAAACTGGCAAGCATCTCCCAGCAGACCAGAGGAGGAAAAGAAGCAGAGCCATTAACCTCCAAGACCCAGTCAGACTCCGCAGCTCTCTCCCTTTGGGGTAGTCATTCCTCACCTCACTCCCCACTTCTTAGTTATATACTCTGTGCCAGGCACTGTGCCAAGGACATTACATACATCACCCCCTCCATCCTCACACTCCTGAAAGTTGGGTATTATTATTATGAGCCCATTTTACGGGGAAGGAAACTAAGGCTTAGAGAGCCTAGGTTTGTGCCACAAATGAGACAACTGCTAAATGGATGAACCGAGATTCACACCCAGCCCATCTGACTCCAGAGATCCCCCCCCCACTAACCACTTCAACCTCTGGCCTCAGTTAGAATGGTGTGAAACCCTTTCTCTGGCTGTCTTTGGTTCTATGGAGTACACGCCTGCCCTCTTCTGTTCCCCACCCTGGCATGCCTTCCCTCCCCCGCAAGATGCCTTCTTTCACCCTTCCCATCCTCCTTCCCCCCAACATGGGCCACGGGGACCCTCAGAGGGCTTGGACAGGGAAAGAGGGAGGTCTGCAGGAAGAAAATAGGCTGTGGAAGCCATAGAGCAGAGTTCTAGCTCCAGCTCATCACTCACAGGCTGGAATTTCCCTAATGTCCCCGAGTCTCAGCTTTCTCACCTACAAATGGGGATGCTGGTTATTCCTACGGCACACGACTGAGGTGAAGATTAACTAAGGTGCTAAAAGACAGAAACTCAGAGTCAGCTCTTGACAAATATGTGTTTCTTCTCCCTTCCCCTCTGTTCCCTCAGGAAAGTCTTTTCCTTGCATTCCACATCTTGAGAACACCAGTGACCCTAGTGAGAGAGGGGTATGAGAGCAGGAACAGAGACACAGATCCCTTCTCCAGGCAGCTTCTCCATAGCCAATCCATGTGAAGACTGAGGGGCCCTGAGGGTGGGGTATGAGTGTAGGGAGAGGTCACAGCAAGGCCAAAGCCAGCCTACAGAATGAGTACTGTTGAATTTCACAGATTTGGCTCTTGCCGTGTTTGTTTCAATGAGTTATTTATCAATATTGAGAACTCAGAACATTCCACATGAAATCCAGATTTCAGGATTCCCTTTGAAAAAGTAGATCAAGCAGCAACAGGCCCACAAGCTGTTAGGTAACATCTAGAAGCTGTACACCGTGTATGGACAACTGCCTTCTTCAGTTAGCCACAGTCCTCACTACTCCCTATATTGTTTCACATTTTACCCTACTCACCTGACTCAGAGCTCTTCCAGTGGGTTGTAACCTGACTGTCATATGTGTCTTTATTTCAGAACCTGACAGAAAATGACATCCAGAAGTTCCCCAAGCTCCGGGTTCCGTGAGTACTCCCCTGACTCCTTGGGCGGTCTGGGAAACAAAGATTAGAATGGGGAGCAGTCCAGTAGGACTGGTTCAGTTACATATCACAGCGGGCTGGAATAAGAAAACAGGCAGGAAGGATGAAAGCAAGGGCAGGGCATAGGGGGAGAAGTTTCATGATAAGTTGGGAAAAGGATGTAACAGATCCAGCCCAGTTGGTGAGTCGGACTCTCTTGCCAAGGATGAACTGGACTGTCAACCACATTTTCATTTCCTTTCTTCCCATGGGGCGCTTAGGCCTGTGAAAATAGCACAAGAGTCAAGAGACCTGAGGTCATCATGGCATCCTCATGGACTCAGTGATGGTCTCCGTTTTCTTGACTTCTCTTTGCAACTCAGTGAAATGAAAGTTGAACCAGAAGATGGCAATGGACATCATTATGTGAGGATGCTCACAGCCTGGGGGTGGTTGCCATGGTATTGTGCTGGGAAGAATCTTGAGAAAAGTGTTATGATTGGTTACTCATGTCTGCCACAGGTGCTGAAATGGGAAGTTGCAGTATGTACATCATGCCATGTATTTTTCATCCCTTTAGCAAAGGTCTCACATACTGAAATACCCACAGGAGGCAGGCAGGGAATATAAAAGTATAAAATGAACCAGGTTGAAAATACAAATTGATTCGTCTTAGGATATGCAGAGGGTAGCGTGTTCTTTCAAGATCCAAAGCAGTGCCACGGGCCCACCAAGCTCTAGGGACAGAGGCATTGAGGCGAGGCTCTGTCCCGCCCCCCTCAAGTCATTACTGAAATGTCACCTTCTCATGGAGGCCTGATCATTTTATTACAGCCACACCTCACCCCTCCACTCTCATCCTCCACCCCCAGCCTCCACCACCACTGCATGTGTCTACACACAGCATATACTTACTTCATGTGTTTGTTTTAGAGTTAGGATCTCACCCTGTTTTACCACCTTTGAATAAAACACTGGTAAATATTCTGTATGAAGAAATATTTCTCCACTATAAGAAAAGTAATAACACAGGCCTGATGATAAAAAAAAGTAAGAGCCACAGAACCTTGTCGTTGGTGAACAATAGGGAGTGGTGGGGATTGTGGCAAATCAGGTGTTATATGCTCCAAGCAGAGTGCAGCAACTCCTCAGCTCCACCCAGGGTGGACCCAACAATGTCCAATCTTCAGATTCATCAAGAGTCACTAGAAATGTGGGTTTTATGTGCTCTATCTCAATTTTAAATGATGGCTCAAATATTTTTAAAAATTTGAAGCCGGGCTCAGTGGCTCAGCCTGTAATCCCACGCCTTTGGGAGGCTGAGGTGAGTGGATTGCCTGAGCCCGCGGGTTCGAGACCTGCCTGGGCAGTGAGACCTCATCTCTACAATAAATCAGAAAATCAGCCAGGTGTGGTAGCACATGCCTGTAATTCCGGCTACTGGGAAGTCTGAGGCGGAAGGATCGCCGGAGCCCAGCAGTCGAGGCTGCGGTGGCCGGGAGCAGCCACTGCACTCCAGTCTGGGTGACAGAGTGAGACTCCAACTCAAAAAAATAATAATAATAAAATAAAATAAAATAAAATAAAAATTTGAAAGCCAAAATAAACAAACCTATGAGCTAGATTTAGTCTGGGTATTACCAGTTCAAGACCTCTTCTCTGGGTGTTCTTTGAGGTCTCTTCTCTTGCTCTAAGTGTCTCGGAGCTCATAAGAATGAAAAGGAAGCAGGCTGGAGAAATAGGAGGTAGGAGAACTCACAAATAGGTAGAAATGTCAATAGCTCCCTTCAGGAGAATATTTTCAGCATGACTATCAGCCTTCCTTTGTCTGGAAGGGTGAAGGAAAGAAAGGAATGAGGGTTGGGCTTCTCCCTACTCTCCTACCACATTTCCTTCATAATTACAAAGTTCCTTCTCCTTCTGCCTCTCCTTCTCATCCTCTTAAAAAAAAAATCACCAGTGCCAGGAATAACAGGATTTGTTTCACAAGCTTTCTGATCATAAAAGTCACCTGGGGTCTGGTGGATGTCACTGATGCCCAAGCCTCTCCCTGGAACACTTGGTCAACTAGTCTAGGGTGGGCCTGGTTTTCCATGCTTGTAATGGATGCACCCAGGTAATCCCACCAAGGGCCCATAGGGATACCCTAATCAGGCTCAACCCCTCACTGAGCTGATAAGGTGTCTGGGGCCTAGGGAGGGAGGGCAGGTGCCTTGTCTGGGGTCGCACAGTGGGCACTTCCCTTGGAGCAGGACACTGCAGTCAGGCTCTCTGTGCCTGCGAGTTCTTTCCCTTGTCATCACCAAGAAAGACCTTAGACCAAGAAGATGAAGACAGGCCCCCATGATGCTGCAAGTTGGGGAGGAGGTCAGGCTGGGACCCAGGCAATTGGAGAATGCTACCTACCTACAACAGACTGACTTCTCATTGGAGATTCAGCCCATTTCCAGGACCTGCTCTTTCCCCAAACGAGGGGAAGTAGGGAGAACTACCGTCTGCAACTGCCCAGCCCCCTCCACCCCTTTCCCTGGTTTCGAGTGAGACCTGGGGTTTATGGGGTGGAGGGAGAATGAGTCACCTCCCGCCACTCACTGTCACTTGGTCCTCCAGCAGTGGGGTGCAACTTTGAGGGCTTGCACATAACACCCACCTTCCTGCCATGCCCACTAGCACTGCCTCCCTGTCCACCAGCCCCCAGCAGAAACTCCATGGGCAGGGAAGGGGTTCTGTGAAGCTCATTACAACGGGAGGACTCTGGGAGTCCAAGGGTTGTGGCAAGCCAACCGCCAGCACCCCCTCAGCTCCGGGCTGCTCTCTGCTGGGGCCTGCGGTTTGGCATTTCCTTCCTCACCCAGTTAGAGCCCCAGCAGCCCCGGCCTGGCTGTTAGAGATACTGGGAGGAGGCGCCACCACAGAGGGCAGCGGGTCCTTTCAAGATCCAAAGCAGCACCATGGGCCCACCAAGTTCTGTGGGACGGGGGCGTTGAGGCGAGGCTCAGCCCAGTCCCCCTCAAGTCATTACTGAAATGTCACCTTCCCATGGAGGCCTGATAGTTTTATTGCAGCCACACCTCACCCTGAACTCCCATCCCCCTTCCCCAGCCTTCACCACCACTACATGTGTCTATGCACAGCATATGCTTACTCTGTGTATTTGTTTGTCTTAGAGTTAGGGTCTCACTCTGTCACCCAGGCTGGAGTACAGCCTGGGTGGCCCTTGATCATAGCTTACTGAAGCCTCAAACTCCTGGGCTCAAGCCTGATGATATGCACATGTCACCATGCCTGGCTAAGTTTTTTATTTTTTTATTTTTGTAGAGATGGGGTCTCACTATGTGTCCAGATTGGCCTTGAACTCCTGGCTTCAAGCTATCCTCGGCCTTCCAAAGTGCTGGGATAACAGGCATGAGCCCCTGCACCCACCATAGTAGACACTTACTTTGAATTTTGCCTTTTTAAAGGTCTCTCTCCATGTAAGCTTCTGGAGGGCAGAAGCTCTGTCCATTGTGTTCATGGAGGCACCTAGAGCACTAGCAGAATTCCCAGCACCTTGAAGGCCCTTAATGCATACCGTTGAATAAACAGGTGACAGAATGGAAGTGGCTGCTGTAGCCAGCACCCCACGGCAGGGCCAGGAGGCAGAATACTAGCAAGGCTTCTCTGCCCATTCTTCTACCCACATGCCCCTCATCTCCTCAAAACAACCACTTAAAGGAACCAAAAAAGCCATGGCACCAGCATTCTCATGGCGAGAACAGGGGGCAACTAGGAAGCCCCTATCCTGATTTAAAGCTCCACCCCTCTGGGCAGTCACTGAAGCCTGAAATTTCAGCAATGTTATCATACAGGATTAAACATTGCCCTTTCTCTCTCTCTGTCCTCCTAAGTCTCCAGTATGTTCATTGTTCTAATGATTCCCGTCGTTCTAATGAGGTGGGAGGGTTTGGAACCTAATTCCTTGGGAGAAGTCGGGGAGTAAGGAAAAAAGTGAGACACAGTGGATGCTGAGACTTCCTTTGTTGACTTAGCAAGTTTGTTTTAGACCAAACTTGTTACCTTGAGGTGGTCATTAAGCAGAAGGAATGTAGATTGCAGGTCATTCTCATAGATAGACCGGGACTCAACAGTGTGCAGTGGCCTGCGTCACTAACTAACCATGTGGCTTTTGTTTAGTCCTTCATTTTGTCTGGACTTCTGTCGCCTCCTCCGAAAGGAAGTTGGACTAGATAATCTCTGAGGTTCCTTCCAGCTTCTAGGAAACACTGAGCCTGTTTACTATAGTGGGTCCCCCGGCCTCATCAGCAGGGGTGCTAAGAGGGGCTAAAGCAACATGTTCTGGAGATTTGAGAAAGTGGAATGGACACTTGTTGCTAGAGCATGCCTGAGATGCCATCCTGATGGCAAAGGCCCTCCCTGTCTTGGATGTGGGGATTTGCTAGTTACAACATGGAAGTACTTGAGGACTACAGGTACCTTCAAGTGTCTTGGCCTGCAAGTGTCTTGACCAAGGCTGGCTCAGGGGGATGGGTGTCAGGGAGTCTCTTATTCTGTAGGATGTGCCTTTATTGGGAATATTTCCCTAAGTTTTTATAAGAATCCATGTCACTGAACAGGAGTCAGAGAAGGGAGGAGATAATAGGCCAAAGAACAGCCCACTAGAAATTGTCCCAAGAAATATGTAATGAGTAGATGATTCCTGAGTCTAGGAGGCGGTTTGAAGATTCTTAGGAGCAAGACATTACCACAAGGATGCTAACGCAAGAATCAGAGGACCTCAGCCTGAGGAATCATAACACAATAAAATACATGGCTATAGTATCCAGATACTAAAGCTGTAGAATTTCAGAAATTCTACAAGGTGGGCAGCCGAGCCTTTAAGGAGGGTTTCCAAGCTAGAAATGGGCCACTCAACAAGACACAGATCGGCAGAGGAGAAAGGGCTTCTCAGGCAGGAGCAAGGTCTGGCCTGAAGAATGATGTGACATGTTCTGTGAAGGGCAGAGGGCCCCCATGGAGGTCACCAGGAGAAGGCTGGCCAAAGTCAGACCAGGAGCCCCAAGGTTCCTAGATCTGGGATATCAGGGCTCAGGAGGAAGGTTGAGGCAGGCCGAGTGGAGACAGTTTTGTCTCTTCATCTGGCTCTTTATCCTGCAGGATTCTCAGTAAATTGAGTCAAGAAATCAACAAGAATGAAGAGAGGAGGAGCATTTTTACACGCAAGTGAGTAAATAGCCCCAGGCTCTGTGTCGGGAAACTCAGGAATGTTCAAACCCAAGCTGAACCTGCAAAGGGAGGGGCAGAACTGGTCTTCCCCTACTTTTTTTTAAAAGCAGGATTTATTGAGAGGAGAGAAAAGTTCCCACAGTGGGAGGGGACCCGAGGGAGTTGCCCCTTCTCCCACTTTTTGGCCCACAGTGGTTCCCTGAGTACCAGGGGTCCAGAACCTGTTCACCATGGACCCATGGAGGGAAGGGAGTTCCCTCTCCCTGCCCTGCATCCTGTCCCAGGGTTCAGGACATCAGGGGAACTTCCCCTAAAGCATCAGGCAGTCATGAGTTCCCAGTCATACCACAAATGTGGCTTTGGTGGTTTCCAGAATTTCGGGGGCAGCCAAGCAACAAGAACACAAATCCTTCCTGGGCAGGAAGACATGCCCTCCACTGGAGGTCCCCTACAGAGCTAGACTGAGGAAAGAGGGAGACCCTTTATATCAACAGGACCATTAATGCAATGCTCTTTGACTTTGCAGACCCCAAGTTCAGCGGTTTCCTGAGGAGACAGGTAAAGGTGTCAGGGCTGGGAGGCATTTGCTTTAGGGGACGATCAATTCGTTGGTTCTTCTGCCTTTCTGATTCCTGGGGCTGATATGGGTGTCATGCAAGTGACCTTAGTTACTTGCCTATCAACCTGTTTTTACCCAGAAAAGAGTTTGGGTCTGGATTGAAGGAAGGAGAGATATCATTCTGCAGGGCACCTAACTGATGGCTCTTGCCCTAATGGGACTATTTGCAGAAACACACTGAAGAACTCTGGGAGTTCTGTAGGGGGGCACAGAAGGACCCAGACTTTGACAGTTCCCCGTTTCTGAGTCTTTAAAGCAGTTTTCAACTCCTCAATTGCACACAGTGGTAAAGATGCAGATTCCTGGGCCTCACTCAGTCCTGCTGAATCAGAAGCTCTGAGGATAGGGTTCAGGCATCTGCATATCTTAAAACAAGAACACAAAGGCACAAAAGGTAACTTTTTTATTTTTGAGTTGGAGTCTCACTTTGTCGCTCAGACTGGAGTGCAGTGGCACACTCCCGGCCACTGCAGCCTCGACCTGCTGGACTCCAGCGATCCTTC